ACACACACACACACACACACACACACACACACACACACACACACACAAGAACATAAATGGACAACGTTAAAGTTTTATCTAAATTCTAATAAACATGTATATGTGTATATATGTTACGATTATTAAAGTCTTTGTTCCTATTTAACATAACACAACAATAGGCAGACGTCGGAAAGGCAGAAATTAGAAGACACCCTAGCGGTATTATTATAAATTTTTCTACATTTATAATATGCTGTAGATAATAGCGCTAATTCCAGTTATGTACGTCTAGCCTAAATAAGGCCTAAAATATTTCTATCTTAGGACAGAGCGGTTAAGCTTACTTGGAATTCTTGAAACAAGTTTCAACGGCCGTAACACACGAAATGATCTTAACATGCGCAGATCGACGTCTATATTGGCCTCGGCAAATATCGTCATAGCACTAAATAAGTGCGAAACGTTGATCATATTTATATCAAAATTGTTGTTTTGTTTTTTTTTTTTTTTTTTGTATTAAAATATTAATCAAATAGAGAGTAAAGTTAAAATAAAATATAACAAATTGGGCTTATAACGAGAACAAATCAAGAGAAATTAATCAAACATAATATTATATAAAAAGCTTTAAATGCGGTCCAAATATTATTAATATACATCATTAGAGGAAACAGGAAATGAGGATATTTATTACATTCGGCTTAAAGCAAATGCCCAAATGCCCAATACCCGCTACTTAGGTTTAAATCTTTTTCAAAAGAAAACTTTTATGCGAATTACAAGGGAAAGTGCGACAAAAGCGATGATAGGTCATGATTAGATGATTTCAGAAATACAAGTTTTTTCTTTTTTTTGTCCTTTCTTACATACATAGATCAATAAAGTTAAGAGATCCTTCAGTAGCGGGCATTATATGTAATAAATGATAAAACCTAAAATATAAAGTTAAGCTTTCAAGGTGTATAAGTATGTAAGCTATTCATGTTTTTTTTTTTTTTTTTTTTTTTTTTTTTTTTTTTTTTTTTTTTTGAAAAGAATTAAATTAAATAAAACTTTTAGAATAAATCGAATATTTACCCCGTTACTACAACGAAGAAATCCATGATGTTCCAAATATTCCTGAGGTAGGAGTGTTTATGCAGAACTAAACCTAAGGCAAGGATCTTGAGCGATGCTTCTACACAGAAAATGCATAAAAAATAGGTCTCCGTTTTTTCCTAAAACAATATACACAATTAATAAATAATTTCAATAAAAAAAAAAAAAAAAAAAAAAAAAAAAAAAAAAATAAAAAGAAAAATAAAAATTAAATGAATAAATAAATCATTTACCAGTTTCTGAGCCAATACTGTTTTGTCACTCCCAGGCAAATGTTCTTCTAATGCCAACACAACGCAGTTGGCAATGATTGTCAATAACACAGTGTACTCGAAGGGCGGCCATTCAATAATGAAACGTGTATATTTTCTAATTGGATTATCCTCGGTAAGGATAAATAATGATGTGGGACCACCACCAGGTGGTGTTTCCTCTTTCTTTGGGCCACCCATTCTATCAGCTAAGCGATGGGCTCCCCTTCGACCCGAGTGCCCCCCGCTTGTGGAGTCCTGTTGATGCCCTGCTAGCGCCGCTTCCTGAGCCGCTGCCAACCTATAAATAATTTCAATTCATACAATTATATAAAATATGTATATCGAAAATATACATAAATTAACTGCTGCCTAAATACTACATTGAACAGTAATGAAAAATGTTTCATTAAAACCAAAAAAAAAAGAAGAAAAGGAAGAAGAAAAAATTTCTGCAATATTTCCTTCCAACTTTGGTAACACTATAAACAACACTTTCTGGGGCAATTTTCATTGCCAATTATTAAATAGTCTTAAATATGTTAAAAGATCCTAAAAGGTAATCTATCTATCTTTTCCTATTCTTTACTTTACAATGCTTTTCGCATCAAATGATCGCTTAAGTATTTAAAGATGATATGTTAAAGGTTTTAACGGGTACGAGACTTTTACATAGACTAAGTATTTGAAGTCACACCACAACAGCAAGTTCCCGTACTAACCGTAGTATAGCTCCATTTCAATTATAGCTATTTAATAATATTTTCTACTATTAAGCATATTCTTTTTAAAGAATTTTTTCCTTCTTAAAAATAAAAAATATATATGTAAAAAAAATCGAAATGTTTTTTCGAAAAGCTTTATTTTCAATATATCGTAAGTTCTTGATTGAATTTGGATTTAATTTCCGCCATTTTTTTTTTTTTTTTAATTTTATATTTGATATTTTATACGAAATTTGTGACCTGTAGCGTCCATTTGAAAACTGAAACCGAACGAATATTAAGCGTTAGAGATATGACGAGTTCCATGTCAAAGCTGGAACAATCATAGCCGATCGCAGAAGTGAATGTGATACGATTTTTAACTCAAATACCAGCGAAAGTTTTTATGTGAAAACAATTTTTCAAACGCTTAACCCTAATCGGGCTACTTCGTCTATAATAAATCATACTGTATGGCATCTCACAAGATTACTGTGAAAAAGGCCTCCTGTATCCCGGGCAGGAAGTTGTTTATAGTTTATATTTCTTTATTAATCGACACATAATTTGATACTCTGCATTAAGTTTATGTGACTGTATGCAACGCCGAAAAGGACTTGCAATAGATCCATCGATTCAAAATTATTTTTTTTGAATCGATATAAGCATGTTTGTCCATCTGTCCGTATTAGATTCTTGTATGCAGGCTACACACTTTGATAAAGTTTGGTAAACTAACGTGTTTTGACCCAAGAACGAACGCTATTGAATATGATTCGGATCCCATAGACATACTATAATCATTTTGCTTGTTACTTGTTTCATTTTCGAAAGCTTTTTTTGTATTTTATATAACTTTTTACGTTTTCGTTTAGCTTGTTTGGATTTTGTAAAAGTGAAAAAAAAAAAAACTATAAAGCAATGAATGGAATTATGCGTGGCCGTGACGGAATTTTTATTATTCAGCACAACAATAGTGAAAGTGTTCTCAATTTATCTTGCACTGTACGCCTATTCTTCGACCGGTTTAGCCCATTTTCAACAGCAGATTGCATGCCCTGCTCTTCAATATTCGTGGGAAATTTGATGGCGATAATATTATTTTTGCGGGCAAGACAATGTATACAACAGACACTACATAGAGATTACAATTTCGCATAAACACGTCGTGGTTTGTATGGAAATCATTATTAAAATATGCACAGTTCGTCAACGTGCCTCTGTTCCGAATTTGGGTCAATTACGTCTTTTCTATCGAAAATTCGGGATTACTTTCCGTGAGTGAGTCTGCCAGATTCATCGCGTAAACGAACGAAACGTAAACAATTGTAAATTTACAGATATATAATATATAGTGTATAGTTGTTAATTTAAAGTAAAGCGATATGAAAAATCTTTGTAACTGCAATGTGATCAATAATCAAAATCCAAATGACCATTAAAGGCTCACTGCGGTCCGATTAGGGTTAAGAACACTAAAAGCAAAAACTCGAATGGGAAAATATACAACGATGCATATTACAGTGCCTTACAAATCGCATTGCTAGTTAGAAATACCAACGTGGGTTGATAGCGGATATGAAATAATTATAAATTTCCAGAAAGATGTCACAATAGGGCGGAAACAGTTATTATCAAAAAGTTTCACACAATATATTCACATATTTGCATTGATTCATGCGAAATACGCTAAACATAGCACAAACAATTTCTAAACAAAAGGATTTTTCGGCCTACATATCAATTCAATCAAAAAAAAAAAGAAGAAAAATGCAATGATAATAGTAATCTGTTAAATATTTTTTCTATGTAAACAAATCAATATAAATATTGGCACATAATAAAGAATAGTTTTCGGTATAATTTATGGACAAAGAATGGTGAAGCAGAAGCCAACTCATATTTATATATATGATTCAATAATAAATCATCATTAACTGCACACCAGAGTATGTTTGTAAGTTCTTTTGTCTTATTTGTTATGTTGCGATTATTCACTATAGTACAGACACCATAGGAGATTTAGAAAAGTAAGACTACTACTATACATACGCATATATATATATATATATATGCATACAAGTATATAGAGCAAAAGCGCTAAAATCCTCATGAGTCGATGGCATGTGCATGAAATATGTGAAAGTTTACGCAAAAATCATCAACATCATATGTTTATTGTTGCCATTTTCAAAAAAAAAAAAAAAAATTTTTTCTTTTTGTTTTTCATATATATTCATAGATACAGTGTACATTTGTTTGTAGATATCAGCATCAGATTTGTTTGCCAAAGGACATCAGTAATAACGGCATCGGCTTTATAAATACGCTACGTATGAAGCGTTGTGTACATATTTACATTAGGCTTTCTAGGCTATATTTAAAGAAATGCGTAATATAATTTAAATATATTTTTAAAAAGCATTTAAAGAAAGTTAGCAGAATTATGACTACATAGCCGCACGCACAAACATGATAATAGAAAGTAACTTTTCGCGTTTTCTAATATACGATGATGACATTATCCCAGCGTATAGTCGCATAATATTCATACAGACAATACGGCACCGTACATATCATCATATACTTTTAAGTCGTCTTCGCAAAACTATCTTAAAATTTTACACTTCAAGAATATATATATGTTGCGTTTTTTTTTTCTTTCTTTCTTTCTCAATACGCGTTGTATATAGTTAGCTTCCTCTGGAGTTTTGTTGTCAATGACTAACTAAGCGTCATTGGTGCTCGTCTTGCTGACGCTTTTCATTTGCAAGTTTTTCAAATAAAAATTCAACTCTACATTTCCTTTTTCTGCTACTCATTCAAGGATAATCGAGAATAGGTTTCACACCAAAATTTCATTTATTCCCATTTAAGGCCATATACAGTTGAGAGAGGAGAATTAAAGGATTGAAATCATTTATTTATTTATTTGTTTCGATTACGAAGGGCGAGCTCAGTATATTTTTTAAATTTTAAATCTTATGCTTATCTCATTAATTAAGTATTAAAAGGTATATAAAGGACAAAGAATAAAATTCGTGAGAGAAAAAAAAAACCATAAACCTATCTAGCACAGGAGCACGCCCGTAGCCTATATAAATCCTAAATGGATGTGCATTGCATATATGCAAAGGTTTGGTAACCAATAATAGTGAATAAATTCGGTTCAATTTTTGAATTATGCGCAACAAAATTATGAGTGGAAGTTTACTTAGATACGACAGAGATAAAGCGCTGTTATTAAGAAGCGTTAATCTGGTAGAATAGGTACACATATCACTTAGGGTTCTGTGTAGAACTCTAAACGGCTCAGAATCATATCCACATTGACTGAATTTTATGGAAATAAAGGTCGGTGCGGAGACACTTGAGTTTATGTTACTAATGTACAGATGTCCTGTGTATACTAAGGCACTTATCAACGTATCGGCTTCGATATATTGCGGTACGATTTCATAAAATAGATTACGTGTTCCGCTTAGCTACGCAGGTTAAGTATTATGGCTTGGTTGGTGACGTAGCCCTGAATTATAATATGTCTAAATTTAAATTATATATTCCCCTCTATCTCCTATTATTTGTCTGTGTTATACGAGAAACGCGTGCAAATAACTTTGTTATTACATCTCTATAAAATTTCTATTTGAAAATTTGCCTTAAACTCTGATATAGGTGTTATTTAATAATCAATAAATAAAGAGGTGGTGAGTGCAATTTTATGCCTCTATTTGCGTATTTGCCCTTCATAGCTTCATAGCTATCACCTACCACATCCACATCTAATCATCTCCCCCTCGGTTTTCCCTTAAAGGAAGTATCTCATCAACTTTTATATGCAAGTTTTATGCCATTACTTGTATGTAATAATTTCACTCACACAACGCACGAAATGTGTTAAACGTTAATGATTTTCATCAACGAAATTTTTAGAATTACTCCAATTTACTTAACTTAGAAGAAAGATGGGAAAAAGCCTTTTGACATATAACAACAGCATGCTCGACAAAGATTTTATTGTACATGTTAATGGTATAAAATTTAATTTAATATTATCATATGATGTGTGTATATGTATTTAGCAAGTTTAAAATTAAAGCTACTTTTATTAAATCTATAGTTAATATCGTGGACTTGAAATACCAGTCTTTCGGTTTGTTTCAGAAAAACTTGGAAGAAATATTCATTTCTATCAGTTAGTGTATTGAGCGTATTTCGGGGGTCAAGTAACATTTAAACGAGAAAAATTAAATAATTACTTAACCACATTTGGGAATAGAAGTGAAGAACGGTAAATAGTTGAGGCACTTTGCAATGTACGGTGCTCTTTACAGTACCAGCTGGCAGTGTTAAGCAAAACTAGAAAAATAGAACAAATAACTAGTGAAACTAGAATGCAGCAAGTGACCTCATTTCCATATTGTTGACCATTGAAGCCATTGCTTTTTACCTTAAATTTTCTGGAATATTTTACGAACATTTACGCAGACACAGGCATTTTAATGCATTTAGTTATGTAGGTAAAATGTAATATTTATTTTCTTTTTCTATACGATAACAACGCTTGTACCCTTTTCACGTTTTTCTATTTACAAACCGATACGTGTACGTGTTTTATGTTTACGTATGTGAGAATATGTCTTCATCATATAGTCTTTATTTAAAGACTTTTTGTTGCACTATGTGCATATAGATAATAGGAGATATTTAGTATCTTAAATAATCTCGCATTGTATATATGTATATATGAGTGTAGCGAAAAAAACTATAATATTTATATGAAAAGTTTTTAGATAGACGAGGATATTGCATAAAAGTCTTTTGCTTTCTCTCGCTCATATTTTGTATGCGGATATATAACGAAAAATATTCTTAACATTAACGAACTTGTATCCGCAATCGTTTGTATATTTCTATGCATGCATGCATGTGTATGTTGATGCGTTTGCATATTGTACAGATATTTCATCGCATTAATGAACTTTACTAGCAAAGTCAGTGAAAGGTATTATTTACTACTATTTTAAAATGTTCGCTTGTGATTCTTTTTCATTTCTTTGCCTTTCTTCATTTTTTCTTGTTCTTTTTTTTTTATTTTTTAACCAAGCAAAGAATATACATGTGGAGAGAAAAAGTATGTCATATAAACATACATGAACTGAATATATTCGAAAACATAACGCCACTATTTCCAATAAAGAACCTGAGCAAACACCATTCATTGCCATTGAAAATGTTCGTAAATAACTGGCTGCATATGCTTACAATAGAGCTTTAAGTAAGAGAAAACCACTTTTACTTTATTCTCATTGATCCATAGCCATTATATCTTTGTTGTTATTATTCCTATTCTTTAGGGCATATATACACTTGAAAAAAAAAAAAAAAATCTCAATAATTAATAACATGTTATAGCGAATAACCAGCAAACATTTAAATAAACATTCACTTGCGAATACATAAAGTAATATATATAACATGAGATATATGCGTATGTACTTTTGATGGTTATTATATAAAAATATAATATTAAATATATCTGCATATGTTGCATGATTCTTTTACCTAGTATAAGTGTAGTATACTAATATACGCAAATATTTAATGCAATATTGCGGAATGCATACATATATATATAAAAAAAAAAAAAGAAAGCAAAAAAATTGTGAGAAAAAGTGAAAAGATGAGATATTCATCAATTCAAAAATATCACTTGCTTTAGATCGCATAGATTTCTTAAACTCTCCCAACATGAGATCTTTTCGCAAATTCAAGCTCATCTTTCAATACGATTTAGCTTCGAAACGATGAACCTTGTTGAACAATTTTAGAATTTGGATAACAACAGTAGTAACAGTAGAAGAAATAAATGCTTTCGTATTACCACTTCGAATCTTACCAGCAGTCCAACAGTCAATGTACGTACGGCATCAAGTCTCGTTTCTTTCAAGTATAATAGAATCGTCTTCGTACTTAATTTAATGTAAATCTATTTTTACCATAATATGAACGAGAAGTAGCAAAATTTGAGTGTTTTTTAAGTGACGGACACCAGAAAGAAATGATCTATGAAAAATATATATTCCAGATATATATACAGATATTTTCTTTTACTTTATATATTTTTAGGCTATAAGCTAGCAATTAGCTAAAAGATACCATGACTGGTTTGTTATAAATGGTAAGCACAAATTCATCCAAATTGCAAAATCATAGTTTTCCCCGTCTCTTTACACAATTTAATCGATGATTGCAGCAGACGTAAATTGGCTTGTAAAGATTCCATCATTTGTATCGTGATTATTGCATGATAGTTGCTTATAAAATATCGTAAAGATTCTCATTCACTCATGCTACATGTGTAAACGTATAAACAGTGTACCTTTTGTTCTCTCTTTATTCTTTATTTTATAAGCGATCATATGACGATAAGGGAAACTTTTCCATAAATTCACGTTAACGATCTCAATCAACTCTGTTATTCACACTTTTATCAAACATAAATATTGTCTTTATGTCGGGGGCCATTTTCTTATGAGTAATAAATACATTGAACAACGTTCAACAAGATGGAAAATTTCAACATGTTTACAACATAGCTCTGTATGATGCAAAATTCGTATCCGTACCTGTATATCTATTGTAAAATTTACTAAAAAATGAATAGTTGCAGAATTGGTTGGAGGCAAAAAAAAAAAAAACATAACGACGTTAGGACATGAGTAATAATGAGAAACGTACCGTCAATTTATCCAATTTCTGATAATGATAGGACGACCGCTCGGCCATAATTGTGTTACACCAAATGTTCGGCAACACACATTTGTGTAGATTGACACGTCATACACATGGCATGCAATCGATGTTATGACAATAGGCAACAAGAATATATTCAACAAACAGTTAAAGGAATTAAATTAAAATTTTTAATGAAATTGAATTTTTTGCCAATGCTTTTTTGTTTCTTGTTGGTTATTATTGTTGTATTTGTTATTGTTGTTTTTCTTATTATTATTAGTATTATTATTATTATTATTATTATTATTATTGTTGTTGTTGTTGTGTTTTTCCCCCTTAATTATTATTGAATGAATGTTATTTGTTTGTTGTTGTTACTGTTGCTTGCTTGCTTGCTTTTTTTGTTGTTGTTGTTGTTGTTGTTGTATTTTGTTTAGCGCATCGTAAATTGAATTTATTAAATACGTATTGAACCAAAACAAAAAGAATTTAATTATAAATTGATCGTTAGATGCGAAACGATCATGATAAAAACAGACTCTTTTTAAAATTAGGTGGAATAAAGCAGTTGTAGTTAATTATTGTTATTGTTGTTGTTGCTGTTATAATACAATTATTTGGACGCTGTAGTTTAATTGTGACAAAAAGTGTACAATTGTTTTTATTATTATACTTGTTTTTTTATTTTATTTATTTATTTTTTTTTTTTTTCAATTAGTTTACTTTTTTACGTATTAATATTCGGTTTATTTTGAAAAATTTTTATCTATAATTCTAATACAATTTCGAAAAATGGATTCATTATATATATATATTTTTATATATATATATATTATATTTATGTATATATATATACGTATATAAATTTTAATGTTTTCTTCTTTTTTCTTTTTTTCTTATATATACATGTGAAAGTTTAATTTAAAGCATGGATCGGTAACTATTTTATTTTGATATATATATATATAGATATATATATTTATTTTATTTATTAATTTTTTTTTTTTTTTTTTTTTTTTTGGTTTTTATCTTTTTTTAGAAACAAAAAAAAATTAAAAAAAATAACAAAAATCACAGATTAATTTTATATAGAGATTACTATTATTTTATTTTTTATGTATTTTCATTTTCATTTTCATTTTTTTTTTTTTTTTTTTTTGATGATGATGAACTGGGATTATTGTTGGTTTAATTTTTAGACTTTGTAAGGAATTTTTAAAATTTATTTCATCGTTTTTGTTATATTATTATTTACACTTGATTCGAATCGTCTGACTTTAAAACGCCTATATTTGAACGTTTTCAAGGCAGCTTTTATTTAACTTTTTTTTCTTTTTTTTTTTTTGTGTATTGTTTTTTCGACTTTATTTTTGTTTTTCTTGTGTATTGTTTTTAATATTATTTGTGTTATTTTAGCAATAAATTAGTCTACTCTTATTAGTCCTCTTTCATTCACTCTCCTTGGCCAACTCTTTCAACCTTATTTTTCGCACGACTTTCTAACTGCCAAACAAACCTACAAACAAAATGATAAATTTGTTTCAATTTTCGAATTTTTTTTTTCCTTTTTTTTTATTATTTCTACAACACTACTTTCACACATTAATTTACTACTGAACTGAATTCACAGTAACAGTTCTTCTTTTTTATTAATCCTAATAAAAAGTTTAAAGTTTTTTGTCCTTTCAGTTTTACAGCAAACTTTACTATCTTTCTCTATAAAAAATAATTTCTTTTTTTCTTTTTTGATGTCATTCCTCTTATAACTCTCCGAAAGCTATTTACTTTGTTTAAATCATGTGATTGTGTTTACGACTGTGCGTGCCTATGTAGGTCTGGGTAATATTTAATGCTCTTTTTTCCTTTTGGCACGTGTGCCTTTGTTTCGTCAAATTTAATACTTTTTGGTTTAAGTTTGAGTTCCAGGCCGACTTTCGTTTAGTTCGATTTCACTAGTTTTATTTCTGATTTTAATTTTCGCGTAAGTAACCCATAAACACATAAACTTTTTATATTTTTAAAAGGATAAAATTGAGTTTGTTTGCTTGCCTACACGCCAAGTAATGCAATCATAAAATGAAACGTACTCTTCAGACTGTCTTATAACATCACATTTTTGTACCGTACACTGTTTGTGGATGTATGCAACATCCAGAAGAATTTGAGAGAGATTCAATTTTCATTAAATTGCCGTATTTAAGCTTATATATCTGTCTGTTCGTCTGTTGTCTGTTGTCTGTCCATGTGTCCTTTTGTTCAATCAATAGATGGCATTTTTTGAGATATTTTGATGAAAAAAAATTGTTATGTGAATAACTGTATATACTTAAGTGAGTTAAGATGTATTCAGTGATGGATTCTGGACGACCCGTATTTTCACTTGTTCTAAATTATCGATGTGTCATTCACCTGCTATGAATTTTACAATTATGCTTAACTTGGACGGAGTTTTTTGATACCTCTCGCTATCTGTGCATAAAGTGTAATAGGCATAGATATTACTGAACCCAATAATTCGATAAAGATTACATATCCTATCGCAGATATGATGTACATTTTAAATCATATTTTTATGTGACTTAAGAGGGGTAATTTCACAAATTTCCACACCACGTGTACATGGGCCGGTTCGTTCGTACTTTTCCTTTCTTGGGAATAATTGGAAGGCTTTTAATAGCGCCATATAATAAATGAAATTAAATTTTTATGGTGAAATGCTCTAAAGTATGGGCCAAAGAAGAAATGATTAAGTTTTTTCTTATTTATAACATGGAGGAGTCCTTTTTTAGATGTTTGAAACCTAAACATATTTCTCTTCGCTACTAATAAAAATTCGTCCAGTTTTCGGAATGATGTATATTTTAAACCACAAGATTACTTTAACCTTTGTTTGGTTATTTACATAGTTTAGATGTCATGAAAATTCCTAGAATTCTCTCCAAATTCGTTTGATTTGCCTCCTTTAGCTTACCTAAAGCCTATCATTCAATATTGAACAAGCTCATGCCTGCGCAACTGGTTTCTCGTTATGATAAAACTTTACGAAAACTTTGCTGCCGATCCCGATGCTTGCATCAATTCGCCAACGACGTTAGCGAATAATTGGACACCTTATCTCATCGAATTCGAACTGTCAAAATCCTAATATTCCTATAAAAATAAAACCAAAAAATTTGAAACGTAAAGAAAATATTGCGTCGTCAATTAAGAATAAGTGGGATGACAAGAATGGTAGACTTATCGACTAAACGCTTCTTTCAAAAATTATAGACAAGTTGGTACATTTTTTGGCATGGGTTTGGCGTGGTTTGGTTTCTATATCTTCACTCTTGAGCCACTCTTGAAAATTCAGTTTCACTTTTCAAATAACCATTTCAAATGACTTTAGTAATAATTTTATTGATACGAACAAATACGTTTTTAAGAGATTTTTCCGCATTTTTATGCACGCAAGTTCCGGTCAAGGTTAAATGTAAATGTCAAAATCATTCGTATCTCTAATCGACCATTTACGGATGGAAAACTGGTTGAGGCCGTTCACATCTTTTGAATTTGATTTTTATCGGCTAACTAGCATCTAGCAACTATGTGCTAAGCTCTAAGATATATATTAAATTTCGATTTTATACTAAAAGCTATCTTTAGTCTAATTAGATGCGTTCGCGTTCAGACTAACGTATAAGATAATTAATAATTTTTTCTTCAACTAAACCTTAAAGTTGCATAAATTTCAAATATAGAGAGTATGAGAGCACGATAAAATTTTCCTTTATCTAGAATTGGAAATAATTTTTTATTACCTCGAGAACTTATGATAAAAAGAAAAATATGAATGATGGTCCATACAATAGCATATCAGAATTGCTTGTAAGCCATCATTATATGCGAAAGATAACCGTGACACATGCATCGAATACTTTCGCAAAATAAGACCCAGTATAGGAAATAGACAAAATAGTTGAGTGATCCAAACATTTTTCAACAGTTATCGTACTTTGGCGAAAACGTGTCGATATAAAAAACTTCATCAAAATATCTCGAAGATTACGTCATGCAGTTTGAATGCAAGAAAACAAACGGGCGGACACACTGACGAGCTTAGCTCGATTCATGAAGTGATTCCGAGTCGATTGTTATAATAAAAAGTAAATTTGCCGGAAGTCCTTCTTGCTCTTCCAGACATCCGC